TTGTCGACATCGCTTGCAGGACGTTGTGAATAAGATGTGCAAGGCATCGGGAAAGAAAACTATGGCACATGGAAGGTTTGCTTGCTTGCTCGGCGTTTAGGGCGGGGGAAGCGGGTCCCTAACCCCTACGCGCAGGCGCGGCGCCAAGTGTCCTCGTCCGGTAGTCGGTGTGAGACTGTGAGTGGGTTCGCAGTCGAGCTGAACTGGTCAAGGAGTGTGTTCTGTTTTCCCCCCTTCTGCTGCACACCACTGCACATGGAAGGTCTCTCTCTCTCTCTCTTTCTTTCTTTCTGCAGGGCGTAAGGGGTCGCGCGCGCCCCCCAGGGCCTAGGCCTGCCCAGCTCACCCACTGTATTATGGAGTGGCTGGTCTTTGGGGTAGTCCAGACTATGGCAATGTACAACCCAGTGTGCTCTGGACATACAAGCAGAAAGCCCCCCCGAACACTAAACACAGAAACAACCCCCGCCTCGTCCCCGCGCCCCTGTGGCTTACAGTCCTTAGCCTAGTCAGGTTCGGGAGGGCATGAAAAAGCCGGCCGAATTCCCCTCCTGCCAGAAGCAGTCGGGGTGTCGAATTGTTGTAGAAGGCGGATCGAACATCGTCAAAAAGACGGATTTGCAATGAATTGGCAGAGAGGCGGAGCGAGCTGCCAAGTCGTGGCAGCATTGTTCAAAAGGCTTCTGGAAGGGATATGGTTTATCCCAGGTTTGGAGGGCGTGTCCGCTTGTTGCCGGCTTTTAGTGGGGAGTGAAAGGAACATGGTGTGTTGACTGATAGGAAAACTCAGTACTTTATCAACATGTGGATTCAGTCAGTAACCAAGTCTTTCAGCACATCCTAGTACGATATTTTTTTGCCGGACAGCACTGCCAAAAACTACATCAGGACAATACTGAAAGATGATTTCCCCAATAAGAAGTCAAGTTAAACCAGCAGCTGCTGGCTTCTCAATCACATTTTCGACCGAGGGGTCGGGCACGGAACTTGGCCTGCCTGGGAAACGAGTCCTGAAGGTTCGCACGCCACTTCTGCAACCGAACGGTTGTGAGCTCTGCGCTGCACTTGTCAATGCAGCTCGACACCAAATCCAAGGCCACGCGTCCGAAGCGCGGCAAGCTCAGGAAAAGAGGACGACAGATCCCGAAGGTCGCAACCTAATGTGTCGCAACAAAGGTGGAGTCGGGCCACCCTCGACGCACTGTCGCAAGCGACGCTCCAAGCGACGGGCACGACGCAGGCAGAGAGGTTCACTAGCCTGAGCAGCGTGATGATGAGCCGTAGGTCGAAGTCTAGACGGCTGCCAGGGAACATGCCGAGTGGATTGAGTACAGCTAAGGTTGTTCACAGCCGCCCGCAAAACTCGAAAGAACCTGCCGCATGGTCTCAACGTCTGTACAGGTAGAAAGACACTGGGCAAAGGAAATGCTGTCAAAAGCACTGGCAACCGAGGCCTCAGAGACCTCGGACTGTACCGGCCACCGCTTTGGAATGAAGACGGGGCCCACATCATCATGACGCCAGTCGTATATCACGACGGCATGATCCGCGAGGGCCGCTGTAGTGCAAGCAGAAATCGGCATAACGCCGTGAGAGCAGAGGCCATAGTCGATGGCTCGAGCACCACCGGGCCCCGTGGGGGGGTAGGACCCGGCCTACAATCATCCATGGCGCTCAGGCGGCCGCTAGCCACAAAAGGAGCAATGATCGACTCGTGCAACTCATAACTGAAATCACCCATAACGGCGAAATCAAAGCCGGTGGGAAAAGCCTCATCCAGGACATCCGCGAGGAGACCTCGCGTTTGCACAGGGTCATGCGGAACACCATAGAAGGAAACGACGGCCAGTCGCTGAAAGCAATCGTCATTCCGAAGCTCAAGCACACCAGCACAGAAACGTGAAGAAGAAATGCCGAAGGAGTAAGCCTGCATCGGCACCCTCGAAACCAAGGCAGGACGGGCCTTGCCCTCCTCGCAAGGGGACACTGCACAGTAAAGGCCCTTCTTGCGCCAAAACCCCATGAAGGTCAAGACAGACCACGGGTTCAGATCGACTTCCTGCACAGCAAGTGTATCAATCTGGTGCAGCAACATGAAATCAAAGATGGCCGCCGTCGAGACGCCTCCATCACGTCCCACATTCAAAATCCCGAGGCGGATGAAAGATCCAAGGCCTCACCTGTCAATGCCTTTCAGCATGTGGCAACGACTTGCTCAAAGTCCCGGGGCTCAAAGCACGAGTGAGCCTGATCAGCAACCATTTCATCCAGGGCAGCGAGCCGTCGCTTCAGCAGGACTTGCTCGTACTGAGCCGAGACAGGCCGGGCCCCGCACACGTGTTGAAGAGCGCCGCGGCGCGTACGATTGCACACCTTGCAGCTAGCACACCTCCAAGCCCTCGGCAAGGTGATCTTAGAAGTCGCACTCTTTTGCCACGGCCACAAGAAAACCTCTTGCCCGGGTACCGCAGCCTTGGCGGCGTTGATGTTAAGTGCACGGGCAGAGCAAGTGGCACGATGGACCCTAGTGCCTAAGGCATGTTGGACAGCAAGTTGCCGAAACTGCCGGCGAGTGTAGCTCGGGTGGCACTTTGCGCGATGCAGGTCCCTTGAAGCAGCACCCACAGACGTGTTGGAGCGCCTCCAGTCGCTAGCAGCACACCCGCGGTGACAGAGCGGGCACTCCCATCCGCAGGTGGCCCCACTGGGGAGCTGGCTCTTACGCACCACCGGGATGCTCTTCAAAGCACGCTGACGCCCATTAAGGGCACCAACCTGACCAGCACCACCATGCTTTTGCACATTGTGATAAAACCGCATCGTGGCCACATATCCCTGACGACCCTTAACAGAAAAGGTGCAGCCCTCTACAGGACACGACCATGGTTTGGGGAGCTTCGTGCTCCGCTCAGGCGCAGCCGGCAACTCCTGCTCGCCGTCAACTTCGAGAGGGGCCTCCTGAGTCATATGCGCATGTCCACAAAGAGCCGACAGTGACGTCCAACAGCTGGTTTTGGTGCGCAAGCGACGCCTCCGCGGTTGGAACACAGAGGGAGGGGGAGGCACAGAAGACGACGAGGGTGCAACGACCGAGGATACACACAGAGGAGAGGTGAGAGACCGGACTTCAGCAGGGGAAGGCCGGTACCAATGGCTTTGTTTGTCGCCCCCGCCCCGCCGTGAGGCAACCCCAGTCTCAGATGCAGGAGCGCTCAAGGCACCAGGCTGCGAGCACATATCGCTCACAGATGCAAAGTCACTCAAAGCAGCGGGGCGCCTCTCCTCAGGAACAGCGTCCTCAGTCTGGGGCAAAGCATCCTGAACAGAGCCGGGCATGTTGCTCGCAGCAGCAGGGACGGCCGCACTTACAACACGATCTCCACATGATGACGCGAAACTCGGCAGGCTAACAACAGAACTTGCAGCCTCCGATGCAAAGTCACTAAGAGTGGCGCTGGGGCGGCCACCGCCCCGCAGCGGCTGCAGCTTCACACTCTCGGTGATACTGGAAGTGCTTGCCTGAAAACCAAAGAAAGATGTTGTGATCCTCCCCGGCCTGGTTGAAAACCCAAACATCCTGACTAGGAGTACCAACCCATGCTCGACACTTCTCGCCGAGGCAGTATACGCGAGGAGTTCGATGGAGCCAGCGTAGGAGCCGACCATGCTAGCTTCGGCGAGAAAATCTTCAAACGGAGCGTCATCCCCTTGCGTCTGCCCATGCACGTTGGGCCTGCCCTGGCTGCGCCAAAGCTCCTGGAAAGTGTCTTTACCCTCTTTGAGCTTGGCTGCAACATATGCACGTAGCTGTCGATGCGAAAGCTTGCGTCCCGAATGTGCAAATTCAGCATCAGCGATGGCATGATGAAGGCAGTTCCCGCCTCCAGGATTGCTGGCAGGGGTCCCGGAAGGTTTCCAGGGCTCCCGGTCTCTAGGCACAGCGGCCTTCTTCGGGGCCGCTTCAGCCCCAGGTCTCTTAAGGCCCCCCGTGGGCTCCGACCCCCGTTCGGAGGCAAGCGCCGGCCCGCCCTGGATCACAATGCTTTCCCCAGGTGGCGCATCAGTCATGCCGCCGCTTGCCTCGAGGTCCTGTTCCTCGTCACCCGCATCCTCAAATAAGCTATCGAGGTCGGTGTGAAAGGAATCCTCATCGGCCCGCCCCGGCTGGCGCTGATGTGCCGTGGCATAGCTCACCCGGTGCTCGTTTCCAATGTCGCTCCGGGCGGGTCTGACCTCTGCGTCGGGCCTCAAGCACAGCCTGCACCTCCTGAGCCCCATCACCATCATCGTAAAACCCCTGGATCAATTCCAGGTTGTCCTCCCGGATGGCCTTAAAGTTCCAAGCCGAGCCCTGCTTGCGAGTGACCTTGTTCAGCAACTGCAGCTCCACGAAGCCCATGCTTGCTGGTGTCAATCCTGGTCGCCTGCCTCGCCAGCGTACAGACCACGCCCTCGCCGGCGGAGTGTAGCGAGCATCCGTCGCCCGCAGGCGAATCCCCAATTGGCGGTTGCCCAGGACAACCCCACTGGAAGCATCCGTCCTGACCCTCTGAAGATACTGGCTCCACGTTTCGGGAGCACTCCAGCCAGAAAACCCAGAGGAGCAGGGCCCGCCGGGTCAGTAAACCATGTGCCTCCGCTGCGCGTCGAGCCAGAGGCAGCCAGAAGTGCCGAGGCGGCGTGCGCATCATAGATTCGCAGATAGCCCTGGACGGCATGTCGGCCGACCTAGGGTGGCGAGGGCGAAGCATGTTGGAAACAAATTTTGGATCGTACGTTGGACTTGGAGCTTTGCGTCCATGGTGAACTCAACCCCTCACTAAAGCTGGCAACCGAGTAGGATGAGCAGTAAGACAGTAAGATTTGGAAGCTTCCCCGAGACCTTTCCTTGTATCGCTCGCTCTCTCTCTCTCTCCCTCTCTCCCTGTCTCTCTCCCTCTCCTCACAGATGAAGACACCTAGATGTCTGGGCGCCATGTTTGTGTGCGTGCCTCCCAGTCTTACGTAGGAGCATCTGAGATGCAGATTGTCTGCTCCCCAAAGGCCGCCTCTCCGTTCTCATCCAGCAGCAGAGGCATCCATTCTGGATGGTTGACGAGCTCATTCATGACGGGTCCTTCAGGTAGAGCATCTCAACTCAAGTATACCTCACATGGCCTCGCAGTGGGCTGACGGGCACTTTTCGTTGGCACCTGTTCGCAGGCGCCGGACATTCTCCTGACAGCGCAAACTGTTCGTAGTCAGACGGAATTCCTGAACCCGACACCCCATGGCCCATGGCAGTATCTGCCTCGAGGCCCTGAACGCGCGCAGGCGTCACGCCAGCGACCTTTTTGGAGTTCAGCCTGCAGCATGAAACAAACAGCTCTTCCGAGCGGCGGGGGTTGCGAAACAGACTTAGCTAGCACTGGGAGGTTCCGCATTCCGAAACTGTGTGTCCGAGAACCTGACCCAGGAAGGCACTTGCGAACATCGACACCATCGTACCTCGGTGTTGCAAGGCACGCAGCGCATCTGCCATCCAAGGGTATCACAGGATTTTCTCTTACACTGGGCCCCGGCTTCGCGATGAATTCGTCGCAGGCTGCGGATGTACGGAAATTGATGAATCCATAGCCCACGTTGCACCTGGCAAAAATCAGCAGCATAGTTGCGCCTAGCAGCCTAGCAGTTTCAAGTTCAGCCGATCCTAACTTCCCGCTGCCGATTTTGGTAAAACCATGCCAGCAGCACTTGTTCTTAAAATCAATGGGCAAATAAACGAAGTCAAATCGTGATTTGAAATCCTGGCAGGTGCGCAGCTTTCACAAGTTATCCTGGACGCTGCCTGAGCCGTCACAAACGCTGATTGATGCCATCTGGCTGAAAATGTCCTGGTTGAGTTGCTTCACGAGCATTTCCCTGGTGTACTTGTTCGGGATGTTCCGCAGCATCACGGTCGTGTAGCCTGCCCAGCAGGTATACTTAAATCATGGGACTTAGTAAGTAGGGGTGATAAATAAGGTAACTATACTTATAAGTACTTATAACCCCAATGATCACCCTACCTACTAAGTCCCATGATCCTCCAAGTACCCTTTGAGCACTTCGGAGGGACTGCTCTTCGGCTCAGACTGAATTCAGCACGCACCCGCCTGAGTCGCCCGGAACGGCTTGCGCGCCTGGGCTGTCTGAACCTAAGATCGCGGACGACTAAGCCCGGCAAACGCAAAGTCGGAAATCTGGAGGCCCCAGACTGCTGCTGGCAGTGGTACTACCTGGCATTTGGTCGAAGACCCGTCTGTCGAAACGACAGGCAAGTAGCTGGGGTCTAGTTTAGTCTGTGACTTGTCGTGCCCTCCTCACAAATTCCCTGGCTCACACAAACAAGATTCTCCGTTCGGAACTGTTCCCCGTCCGGTGTCACTGCCAACACCGGAATGGTGCTTGTGCAAATGTGAAACTTTCCACCCATGAGCCTTCTGCTTGCGGCTCCTCTGGAGTGGCAGCTGTAGGCGTCTCCTCCTGATAAGTCTGCAGTCCAGGTCGGTTCAGCCACTTGTACTGAGTGCTCTCGTATTTGTTCCTTGCTTTTCACCACTCCCCCCTGTCGGCTCTTCGCCTGCAAAGCCGGCGCAGGCTCTGAGCGCTCCTCACGATGCCAGCGCCTCAGAAGCTGGACGGCGTTCCATCTCACGCTGCTTCAAGCTTTCACTCGCGAGCTGAGGGATAACAGTGACCCCTCCTCTCTTGTGATACGGAACGTGAAGGAGCGCAGGGAGAGACATAGAGAGAGAGAGAGAGAGATGTGCAAAGGCATGTACAGACAGGCGCACGACACAGTTGTGTAAACTGGCATGATGCACAACAAGCTGCGAGAATACTTGGTATCGACGAATGTCTCTCAGCACGTGCATAACGTGATGCATGCGGTGAGAGACATTCGTCGATGCAAAGTGGGTTGCGTCCTTTCGTCCACTGTGCTCACACAACATGCGCGCGCATTAAAATCACATAAACATATATGTGGACATATTTATGTGTCTTTTGATTAATTGTATCATCTACTTGTATTCTTTGTTTGCTTCCAATATACTTTCTGTTTATTTGCTTATATTCGGATTCAGCTATCTATCTATTCATCTATCACTTCTGTCTTTAATGACTTACTTCTATTCATAATGCGGATGTTGGCATGTGTTATGAATTTGGCAGCAGCTGTCTTTGTATTGATGTGACCGAAACATCTTTGACGTTGCTTTGCTGTGTCGCTGGGTATTCGGTTGGTAGCAGGACACTGACGTGTTTACTACCTGCTACTTGCTTGCATTTCTGAGGGTACATCTATGAATCTATGTGTCAAAGCGATATGATACGTGAGTTGGCACGATGTAAAGCAGAGATACATACGGTACCAGGGAAGAAACATGCGGAATCAAGGGCAAGAAAACAGAGCCACTCAGCAACAGTGCCACGTGACGATAAAAAACTGCCGACACATGGGGATGCACAGTCCGACTACAGTATACAGATGTAGACAATGTGCACAAGCGTGAACACACATTCAGGCGCGCAGGCAAGCACAGGCGCAGACAGGGCAACAGAAACACATGCGCATGTGTCTACCGTCCGCAAACATGCAAACAATTACGCAACCGAGAAACGAGTGAGGAAACTTCGCCTGCCCCATGTCTAGGTCATGACAGTCTCACAAAGCCCAGCTTTTGCGGAAATTGGGGCCCCAGCGACCAATCGTCGTTCCAGGAGTCTGCCTGTGCAACAAGACACAAGCCCGACGTTGCCACAGAGCCCGATGCGCACCTGTCGCTGCGAACGTCGGGAGCCACGTGCTCCTTTCCTGGCACAAGTGCATGCGCAGTGTTCGACGAAGACATCGGGAGCAGCTGCACAAGTCTGTTGCCATGGACCTCTTCCTGACACACGTGTCCAAACGCAGCATGTGGCGAAATACGTAGGGCTCTCCTCCAGCCATAGTCCCAGTTGTCCCAGGAGTTGGCACCTCCCAGCGCCCCAGGCACAGGGCAAGCCCACTGCAGCTGCTCAATAGAAGCATGTGGAGTCTCGGGCTTCCGCTGTCGTCCTTATGACGATGGTCCTCCCAGCCTTCGGAAAGGCGGAAGCAAAGTCAAGGACCGTCCCAAGGCTCTGCGAGACAAGGCAGCCGACCATCTGAGTCTCGCCAGCTCTTGCGGCTGTACCTGGCGACCAGGCGACCAAAGCGATCAGGCGACGTTGCCCTCAAAGGGCCGGGCCACTTCGGATCCCAGAACTTTGGCTGGTTTCAATACGTCACGACGCGGAGCCCTTGAGCCCTTGCGCCTAGAGTTTCGACTCTCCTCCCAGGACGAAGAGCCCTCCTCGGTTTTGGCCGAAGAGACTTGATCACTGAGACGCCTGCCTTTCTGAGAGCACTGCTGCTGCCTTGTCTCCCCATTCCTTGCTCTCTGTGCTCTCCTGCAAGCATGATGACTAAATCAGCTAGGGACCTAGACGAAGGTTGGAAGCTCAGTACGTTGCGTGCAACACAAAACATGCAAATAAATCTGTCCTTCGGCTCAGCAGTCATGGCCTGCCAATGCAAATCTAATATAGTGCAGCAAGCCTTGCAGAAACTCGCAGGAACGCCCTCTGGGTATGACTGTATCATTTCTTGACGATCATCCAGGACAAGTGAGCCTCTCTAAATCCTGGCTCGGGCCTCCGTGGCCCAGTCTTGCTGTCCGTCTTCCTGTGTCCTTGGTGACAGTGGTAGCATCGAGGGGAAGACAGCACGCTGTGCTGCGCTGAAAGCTTGTCCTGCCCTTCGGATCTACGTCACACATGTGAGCGCGGCGTGTTCCAACCACGACAAGACCCTCAAACACGCTCACCGCCGCAAGGCTGCATCGACCCACGACGAATCCGCCGACCCCTGCGGGCGGCGCCCGTGATATCCCGAGAGGTGTCCGCACCCACACCGCTTCCACCGCTCTGTTCAATGAGTCTTTCACCGCTGTATTTGTAGGTGTTTAAAGAATATTTAAAGGCTGCCAATGTGCGCCCGGATCTCTCCGCGCCCCCACTGCCCCCACCGCCCCCACCGCCCACACCGCCCTCACCGCCCTCACCACCCCCACCACCTTCATCCACCGCCACCACCCCCACCATCTCCATTACTGCCACGCCTGCACTGTGCCTCCACCGCTTTCACCGTTCCCACCGTCTCCACCGCTCTCACCGCCCGCTGTATTTGTAGGTGTTTAAAGAGTATATTTAAAGGCTGCCAATGTGCGCCCGGACCCCCCCGCGCCCCCACCGCCCACACCGTCCACACCGCCCCCACCGCCCACACCGCCCTCACCGCCCTCACCACCCCCACCACCTTCATCCACCGCCACCACCCCCACCATCTCCATTACTGCCACGCCTGCACTGTGCCTCCACCGCTTTCACCGTTCCCACCGTCTCCACCGCCCGCTGTATTTGTAGGTGTTTAAAGAGTAAAAGTAGGCTGCCAATGTGTGCCCGGACCCCCCCCCACCGCGCCCCCACCGCCCACACCGCCCACCGCCCACACCGCCCTCACCGCCCTCACCACCCCCACCACCTTCATCCACCGCCACCACCCCCACCATCTCCATTACTGCCACTCCACCGCTTTCACCGTTCCCACCGTCTCCACCGCTCCCACCGCCCGCTGTATTTGTAGGTGTTTAAATAGTAAAGAGTATTTAAATGCCAATGTGTGCCCGGACCCCCCCGCGCCCCCAGCGCACCCACCGCCCCCACTGCCCACACCGCCCTCACCGCCCTCACCACCCCCACCACCTTCATCCACCGCCACCACCCCCACCATCCCCACTACTGCCACGCCTGCACTGTGCCTCCACCGCTTTCACCGTTCCCACCGTCTCCACCGCTCTCACCGCCCGCTGTATTTGTAGGTGTTTAAAGAGTAAAGAGTATTTAAAGGCTGCCAATGTGTGTCCGGACCCCCCCGCGCCCCCACCGCCCACACCGCCCCCACCGCCCACACCGCCCTCACCACCACACCGCCTTCATCCACCGCCACCACCCCCACCATCTCCATTACTGCCACGCCTGCACTGTGCCTCCACCGCTTTCACCGTTCCCACCGTCTCCACCGCTCTCACCGCCCGCTGTATTTGTAGGTGTTTAAAGAGTAAAGAGTATTTAAAGGCTGCCAATGTGTGCCCGGACCCCCCCGCGCCCCCACCGCCCACACCGCCCACACCGCCCTCACCGCCCTCACCACCCCCACCACCTTCATCCACCGCCACCACCCCCACCATCTCCATTACTGCCACGCCTTGCACTGTGCCTCCACTGTTAAGGAAAAGAGTATTTAAAGGCTGCCAATGTGTGCCCGGACCCCCCCGCGCCCACACCCCACACCGCCCCCCCCACCGCCCACACCGCCCTCACCGCCCTCACCACCCCCACCACCTTCATCCACCGTCACCACCCCCACCATCTCCATTACTGCCACGCCTGCACTGTGCCTCCACCGCTTTCACCGTTCCCACCGTCTCCACCGCTCTCACCGCCCGCTGTATTTGTAGGTGTTTAAAGAGTAAAGAGTATTTAAAGCTGCCACCCGCCCCCCCGCCCCCACCGCCCACACCGCCCACCGCCCCCACCGCCTCCCTCACCGCCCTCACCACCCCCACCACCTTCATCCACCGCCACCACCCCCACCATCTCCATTACTGCCACGCCTGCACTGTGCCTCCACCGCTTTCACCGTTCCCACCGTCTCCACCGCTCTCACCGCCCGCTGTATTTGTAGGTGTTTAAAGAGTAAAGAGTATTTAAAGGCTGCCAATGTGTGCCCGGACCCCCCCGCGCCCCCACCGCCCACACCGCCCCCACCGCCCCCACCGCCCTCACCGCCCTCACCACCCCCACCACCTTCATCCACCGCCACCACCCCCACCATCTCCATTACTGGCCTGCACTGTGCCTCCACCGCTTTCACCGTTCCCACCGTCTCCACCGCTCTCACCGCCCGCTGTATTTGTAGGTGTTTAAAGAGTAAACAGTATTTAAAGGCTCCACCGCTTTCACCGTTCCCACCGTCTCCACCGCTCTCACCGCCCGCTGTATTTGTAGGTGTTTAAAGAGTAAAGAGTATTTAAAGGCTGCCAATGTGTGCCCCACCACCCCCACCATCTCCATTACTGCCACGCCTGCACTGTGCCTCCACCGCTTTCACCATTCCCACCGTCTCCACCGCTCTCACCGCCCGCTGTGTTTGTAGGTGTTTAAAGAGTAAAGAGCTGCCAATGTGTGCCCCGACCCCCCCGCACCCCCACCGCCCACACCGCCCACACCGCCCCCACCGCCCACACCGCCCTCACCGCCCTCACCACCCCCACCACCTTCATCCAACGCCACCACCGTTTTCACTACCCCCACCATCTCCCGGCCTTGCGATGCCCCGCCGCGCGCGCGATTTTTTGTCATACCACCCCATGGCCACAACTGCACTGGTTCCGTATATACTACTGTACTACGACGACCGACCCCCCCCTCAGTAATCAATCCCCCCCACCCCGGCGCCAAATCAATCAAGGGGGGGGGAGGGGGGGGAGGGGGGGGAGGGGGGGAGGGGGGGGTGAAACCATAAACCTCTAAAGGGGTAGCTCTAACAGGTACCTACAGCAATGGCTGCATGCTCATACATATACATTCCGCTGCCCATTGGCTCACAGTGGTTTTACCATATTGAGACAAGACAAGCTCTCCTTGCGTAGCAAGACAAAACAACTACTGTCCGTGTGCAGGGCGCTGCCCTTTGATCCTTAGGGAATAACTGGTCATACACCTCCTCACAAGGAGTATCCCTTGGGGGTGTATCGGCACAGTTTTCTGGTAGCGGAGCCCGGAAAGGGCCGCCCGCCTCACAAAGTCCGCTACAGCGGTCGGCCTCGCCGAACGCTTAACCAAGCGGATAAGAGGCAGCACAATGTCGAGCTCGCATAGCGAAGCCGACGGCAGTTCCCAATCCTCCGGGGGATATGAGAACGAAGAGACCTCCCAAGGTCCAGCTACTTATGTCGCACAGTCATATGCAACATCTGACCGCATGCTTGCATCATTAGGCATAACGCCCAAGATCGCGCCTGCCTATGATGGCACCACCTCGTGGTTTGAGTATGAACAGTTGATTGACGACTGGTGCGACATAACAACGCTGGATGACACCAAAAGAGGTCCGTCTCTCAAGACGAGGCTCTCCGGATTGGCCGCAGTACAAAAAGAATCACTCAACCGAGAAAGGCTTGCAGCCCCAGATGGAGTAGATTACTTCAAGAAGAAGATGCGTCCATTTTTCGTGAAAGGAGAACAGTACGTTTTCCTGTGGCGTTTCCTCGGCCTATTCAAGGCATGGAAGGGCAACCAAGACTTTGTGACTTGGATTGCTAAGTTTGAGATCGTGCTACAGCGCGTGAAAAACTCATGGATGGATCTCTTACCAGAGATAGCTCTGGAAGATGCCCATCCGGATTTCATGCAGGCTGTGCAGGCAGATCAAACCTTCTTGCGCCTACAGGATGCAACCGAGAGAGACACATACGCCGCACGTTTCTTCGAAACATGGAACAAGGAACGCCTTGATAATCATCGAAGAGCGTTTCCTCTAAATGATAATCTCCTAGCTCTCCTCTTCCTAGTGCAGTCCGACCTAAATGAGATGCAACGTGAGAGGTTGGTAACAGCATTGACCAACCAAGGTTACCGAATTGAGACCTACACGTACCCTATAGTACGGCAGACCATGTTCGATCAGTTCTCAACGACCAGAACTGGTCTGCAGGATCCCAATATTCGGCACACTTCTCACAAGAAGGACCGCCATGGAAGGAGAGATCAACGCCGCAAACGCGGAGGTCGAAACTTCCTCATCCTCGATCAGGGTGAATACGACGGAGTCGATGGATTCTGGCTCCAAGACGAAGACACCCTTGAGGAAGGCTTTCTTGCCGCCGAGGATGAAGAAGCTGTCTTCTGGACAGTTGACGACCATGAAGCCTTCGTTGCAAGGAGATTCAAAAAGGGAAGAAGACCAAGAATGCGTCCCGGATCACCGGGAAGAGCAAAGGGTGGCAAGCGAAAAGGACGTGGCCGTTTTAGGTCATACCGCGGAAAAGGGAGAGCCAACCAGGCAGAACATGATCCAACTGATTCCAGCTATTTCGGTAAAGGTAAAGGAAAGGAAAAAGGAAAAGGTGGAAAAGGCAAAGGAAAAGGAAAGGACAAAGGAGATAAAGGAAGCTCCTTCAAGGGTACAAAATCAAAAGGCAAAGGTAAGGATACAGCTAAGTCTGCCTCCTTACAAGGAGACCAAACTGGATCTCCACAGGCCTATGAGAGTTCCACCGCACCGAGCTGGGATTCATGGTATGAGGACAGTTATTATACTGACTCCAGTTGGAATTATGCCGCTTATGACGATCAAACGTCTTATACATACTATGCATCACAAGCCTCACGAAGAAAGACACGGAGAAAGAAGAGAAGAAATCAAGCAGGATCATCAGGTAGAGGCACAGATCCGAGCGC